CTAGGCAATACCAAAATCTTAATTGAAAGGACACTTTCTTCTCAGCATATTTCATAAACGGTTTGAGTGAATAAGTGGACGTCTGAATCATATAACAAGCCGAGCCATATGTAAGTGTTTCAAAAAGAGTACAATATTCTCCAAGAAAATATTTCCATGTTTACTTAATTAAACATTTACTTTAAATTCTCGTGTTGTACGATTTAAAAGATGGTCTATGTTTATGATCAATTATTTACAAAAGTACATACAATTCTGAAATATAAATGCAGTATTATAAATATTTATCATAATTCCGACTCCATATATTGAGAGATAGTATCACGTCTTCTGTAGAATAAGACATTAGCATTATTTTTTCCTGAAATAACTAAAAAGATGTTTACTTCATTGTAGATTTGTTTGAAGAAAATATAATCTTACAAACATTTTTTTGGTGAAATTATATCTTAACGCTTCCCTAATTCAGAAAAATTACTCGGAGACAGGGCTCAGGGCATCAACTGATGTCACTGCTGTCTCTCTGACTGGGAAGTCCTAGGTTTGAGTCCTGACGGTAATAGGATTTTCGACACTAGCTTTTCAGCTAGATCGAATTCAGTCGCTGTCTGGAGAATTCTCCCATCAACACCAGGCGAATTCCGGGACAGAACCCTAACAAACCTGGCCAAGGACCGCGCGCGACCTTTCCTACCTCTTCCTTAACCTGTCCTCGCCCCTTACATACACACTAACATGCAGTACACTATCGCACATACCGGGAGACCGGTCGGGAGCGAAGAGCTTGTTCAGAATGGGGCGGTGCCCCACTGGTGGGAGATACCTGGTTGAGGAAACTCCCACTCGCGGATGGTAAGTCGGCGCCGGATTTCGCCATCCAGCGGGAGAAGGCCACCGCCACAGCCCGAGTAAAAGCATGCACCGCACTTCCGGGACGCACCTGGAATCACAATCGACCAACCATTCAGAAAAATGTACCCTGAATTCAGTCTATTAGTAGTCTGTAGTTTGTTTTAGATCGGCGCTGAGTTTTGTTGTGTTTCTTTCGACTGGTTGGGATGTTCGTTTCGAGGGCGGTAAAGCTTTTACTACTTTCTTGTATACGCACGTTTATACGGATTAATACACGTAGAATACAAATTTTAATAATAATAATAATAATAATAATAATAGAGAAAAATAATTTTCAAAACTTCCGTCCGTGTCCGTCTGTCAACAGCACTAGCGCCTAAACAACGGGTGGGATTTTTTCCAACGTGGTCATCGGTCGAACTGACTCGACGCGACGCAATTTTGAATAACTTTGTTTAATTTTGGGCGGTACTTTAAATGACCCTGAGACATTTTCAAAATTTTCTCAAAAACGGCTCCAATTTCTTTTTGTATATTTCTTATGAGGATATAGTAAAATACACTTATAAAAGTGGAATATTTCTGATTTTCACTGCTTACTGTAAATTTTCGAAATTTGCGAAAGAATTGAAGTTTTTTCGGCGTCTTCCTACAACTACAAAATTGAAGATAGACATTTTTTTCTTTTTGAAATTTGTTCTCCATAATTAGTTTTTTTATTAAGGTTAGATGATTTTTTGACAATTGCAGTAGTTTTTGCGCAATGTTGTGTGCAATATTAACAAATAACAAAAGCAATAATTTCTCAAAAATGACACCAAATGTTTTCTTTAAGCTTTTAGAGATAGTTCAAAATGTTCTGCATAGGGTGACATAAATGCCACTTTGCTCTATTCTTATGTTTTTTTAAATAATTACACAAATGTAAGTTTTTTGACTTGTCTATTACGTTAATATTTACATAAGCGGAGATTAATTTATATTATTTAATTTATGAGTACATGTGCTTTAAATGATGTCTTATAAAGTTTCTCGAAAACTCAAAATTTTTCTTTGAAAATGAGATCAAATTTTAGTGTTTTGAAAAACATTCAAAGGTCATTTTCTCAAAAAATTCCTTCCAAAATTTTCTTAAAACTGTTTGTAAGTATAGTGCTAAATGCACTGTTTAAGGTGACATTAATGCCATTTTTCTGCATTCTTAAAAAAAACATAATTTTTATTTTAAAAAAAATATTTTACACCGTTAATATACACATTTCAGCGATTTGTATACATTATTACATTTGTGAGTAGATCTTCAAATGACGTCCAAGGAAATTTAAAGGAAAAATTGAAGAGTTTTGTGTGGAAAAGAGCTTCAAATATCGCAACGCCTCAACGAATCTAAATTTTGCAACGAAAATATCCATATATGACGAGGTTTTACTTTTCTCTCATTTTCTTAGAATAATACGTCAGTTCTACAATTAAGAACCCGAAAAATTGAGGAAATTAAAAAAAAATGCGTCGGGTTGTGATAGGTGGCAGCTGGTAAGAGGATGGGGCAAAACCGAAAAGCTAGGCCAGACTAATAAAATTAAAAATTCGTAGATACGATCATGTCTGTGTCATTCTGTAGCATCACTAGTTTTTTAAGTTGTAGGTACTTTGTATTTCTCAAAATGACCAACAGCAAAGGCATACAAGAAAATGGAAGTAATTTAGTATTGTTTAAAAAACGTTAAGAAATGATTATCCGAGAGTGGTTGGTTTTGCTGGGAATATCTTTGGTTTGGCAATATACGTTTTTTAGGTCACATCAACATGTAGGTCATTGGTGACCACTATTGGTTTTAACCTCATGGTAACTGTGGGGTGTAACATGGTAATAGGGGGTGTACACACATCCAAACATGCCTGAGGCGGGACTCGAACCTGTGATCCGTGGGTCCGAGATCGCGACGCCACTACTGCCATAGCGATCTCGGCCACGGATCGGCTGGACACGGAAAAGAATGGTGCTGGTTCCATTTCCGTTGAAATATCTTAATTTTTGAAAATTGGCAAAGGATTTAAAAAGTTTTCGGCTCCTTACTACACCTACAATATTGAAGATAGTGATATTTTCTTTAATGAAAGGTGTTTTTTAAAGCCATCTTGAAAAAAGGCCATACCAATTTTTTGAAAATATTAATAGTTTTTACGCAATTTTGAGTGAAATGCAGGCAATTCGTAAACATTGTTCTTAAAAACAGTTCTAAATGTTTTCTTGATTCCCCCGCCTCCGGATAGAATGGAATGCTTAAAAGAATGACGCAAGTTTCATTTTCGTTGAAGTCTGAATTTTCGAAAATTGCAAATTTAGAAACAATGCGACAAAGTATGTGCTATGTAGCATATCTTTTTTTGTAATCATGAAAACCTAGAATTTCTTTCGTGTGCAGACTTGTCGCGGCGCTGAATCGCGATATTCGGTGCGCACGTCACTTTGTTCAATGAGGCATGAGTGCCATAACAAACGCGACGTGTGGAGCGTTTCGTTCTTATTGCCGCAGGCATGGCACATGGGCCCCCGCCCCTTCCGCCCGCCGCGCACTCCCCGCCCGCGCCCAGCCGCCCGCAACTCCCCCGCCCACACCACCCCGCCCGCCCGCCCTCACTACCCCCCCCCCCACCACAGCACCAACAACAACAACCTATCTCTCCGTCGGCTGGCTGTAACTCGGCCAAGCGCACACCGGTGGGAGAGTCCTTTTTGTTTGCCTAATTAAACTCTGGGCATAGTTGAATCAAAACAACCGCCACAGGTGCATTACCTTTGGGCAGGGACCGTGAATGTAGTGGAAAGAAGAAAACTTCCCACTCAAATCCACAGAGTGAAATTAAGATTGATAAATATTAAAAGAAAGTAATATTAGTGGTTAGAAAAAAATCGTTAATAATATTTCAAATATTAATAATAGGTAAAAATTTGGTCTGATGGAAACATGGAAATTGTTGTCGTTTCACACCGATTTGTGAGGGGAGGATGTGTATTTAAATATTGTATTGTGCTTTCAATTGTCCCCATTGTACTTTAAATTGCCTTAAATATACTAATAGTATTTGCCGTAAGATGTTATTGTATTTAATAGAATGATATTTTGTCAAAGACAATCAGATCATTACACGAGAAATATTGGATTTGTAAAACGAAACTTAATCTGTTCATAATTCATGTTTCGAATTTGCATTTTGGGATCATAATCATCTTTGGAACGACGCAAATTATGTTAAAAAGGCCTGGTAACAAAGAGTCATATTTCAAGTGTATCCAAGGCGGTGGTTTGACGCCCTACGACACAGGGAGATAAGCCAAATTTATAGTGCGGGAGCGAAACGGGGAGCCAAGATCTTGGCATGGGCCAAGCGTGGGGTCTCAAGGCCAGGAACTCTTTTCATTCGTCCGCTGCAGTTTTTCAGCACGCGAAGCGCCCGCTTTTTCCCCTCCGTGAAGTCACAGTATTCTTGGTTTTGTGGTGGGTGCGAGGACCGTGCCCAGGTCAAAACGGAGAGCCGTTGGCAAGTTCCTAAATCTGAAATAATGAACGCTTGGTTCGTTTAGTGGAGAGAGCAAGCGGTCTTCGGTGTAAAGTGAAATGTTTTTTAATGTGGATCATACGGCTTCAGATTCGATTAAAAAATCGTATATATATATATATATATATATATATATATATATATATATATATTAAAGCTATGCAATTCTTTAAACCTCCGGACTTCAAGCAGTTTCTCCCAAACAAGTCCCCGTTTGTGCATCTGTTTTGTGAAGACCTAGTGTGTGCTTGTAGTCCTCTCCCACTCCCCCGCGTGCTTTTTTGTAATTATTGGTAATGCATTGTGTACACTTGTGCTGGTGGTGACGTAGTTGCCTGCGTACGCGCGCGCCGGCGAGGCAATGACCAGCGTTTGTCTCGGGCACGCGTTGCTTCCCGCCAGCACGCCACTCACGGGAGGCCGCCTCGGTGGCTTTGGTCTGCTTCCGAGTCGCCTGCTCCATATGCAAGAGGCCGGCGCGACGTTTCTGTCCGAAGCAGCCTTTTGTCATGTGTAAACAGCACGCCAGACGCGCTGTGCCTCATTTCAGAGCAGCAAGACTCCCACCTCGCTGTTTGTTCTTGCAGACTTAGAAGCGTACCATCATAAGAAAGACATGATCCTCGTAAACCTGTTATTGGTGGCTCTCGTCGGGCTGTGGTACGCGCGCCGGCAGACGAATAGTTCCAAAGACGATTTGCGCCGCATGATGAAAGACATGGAGAGCTTGCAGCGAGCGAAACAGACCCTGGACCAGTTGCAGGTGAATATCTTGGAAGATGGAGATAAGGTTATGTGGGAAACTGATGATATTTAAGAATCTTGAGCTTCGCAGAGATTAGAGATTTTATGCATGCAAAGAAAACCCGAAATAACCTCTTCAGTTTTATATTAAGATAATTCTGACGGAGTGGGACATTTCGGCGTTTTAAACAGGAAAAGCGAATTTGCAGAGAAGGGGGAGATAATGTGAGAAGTGAGGCATTGTTGTGTGTTTCTGTAAGAGTGAAGTTTACAGCAGCAAGTATTAAATAATTTCAATTTGCTCATTACTGTATCTGAAAGAAATTGTTGTATGCTCAAAACACAGCCTTTTCAAAACTGCATGCATTATGATATTCGAAATATTCCCTCCTGCTCAGTACGATCGAGATTTGTTGTTTCGTAGGGGAGGACTTCTCCAGGATTCTAGGCAATACATAATAGGATAAAACTCATGTACGGATTATAGAAGTGAATCCCACTATTAGCAAGCTTTTCGTCCTTTGTTAGCTGTCTACACCAAAAACGGGACACTATTTTGTAGTAGTCGCAGTAACTCGCAACACAACACTGTTTTTTTTTTTTTTTTTTTTTTTTTTTTTTTTTTTTTTTTTTTTTTTTTTTTTTTTTGATTTTTCAACACTGTTTGAAAATGTTCCTTTTCACTTCTGCCATTCGTTGAACTTCTGCATGTCACCGGCACAAGGCCAGTGCGTTAGTATTCACAGATCTAAAAAACAACATAATCCGCCCCTTCTTCGGAGTTTAGAAGAATTGATGTGCAGAGAAATCGCGCCGCTTATATGACTCGTCCTCAAGTCACTTGGTTTGATTTCGCATGTCTTCCAGAGCCTCAACTTAACCGAAAGCCAAGATAAAACACTAATACCGCTCATTTCCCATTTCCAAACTTGATTCTTTTCTTAGTTATGAAACGCCTGTTTGCAATATATTGTGGTGAGAAAAAGGAAATGATTTTAAAAGCTGTTTTGGACATTCTGGATTTATTTAATTTTACTGAGAAAGAAGTTCAAGTGACTGAAATCAGTCGTGCCTTTTCTTTAAGACGAACGCAGCTACTGGAGGCAGTAGCAGTCCAAGAGTTCCAGCTATATCAGAATTAATTCATTTTTACACGTTTTCTTTTTATTTGGCTAAGGAGACGAAATTACCGCCAATCACCATGCACAGGAATGGTTCTCAATGATACATGAGTTACCATGCTAAGAGGGTTTCATTGATATTTTGAAAATGTTTGTTTGTAGTACTCGGTTACTTAGAGATCGATTTAGTACCTCATCCCCACTGTGGACGGAAATTACTAGGAATTTTCTAGTTGGCACCGAATAGACTTTATAGACTTAATAGAATTTTTTAGTTGGCACCGAATGGGGTTGTCAGTAAATTTTGACTCCCATATTTCCGCCAAGAAACTCCAGAATTATGATTTTTTTAGCGGCTATATTTATTCATTAATTGGTTTGCCCCCAGTTAAGAAAAAATGGGATATAGTTATTACTGGTATTGGAGGATTTAAGTTCGCCGGTCATTTAGCCAGTTTTCTTTGACAAGCCGCTGGAATGAATTGACCTCTAGTTTTTCCGTCCTTCCATAAAATTCCCGCCTAGATCGGTCTCCCGCTCGGAAGTTCAGGAGCGAGAAGTATTTGCTGGGAAAATAGCAGAAGTCTTGAAAAAGAAAAGCGTTTTGTAGAAATGTTTTTTGCATTCCTTCGTTCAAAATAGACGACATCGTGATTCCAAAGAAAATGTATTCTGGAGGACAGGAACTTGATTATTTTGGAACATGATTGGAAGTTCATGAATATGCTTAGTAGAAAGTTGTGAGCGTTTTAGGATGTGCATGTCAATAGAGAGCTCAAACGTAGTCGCACCATACCTGTAAAGCTCAAAAGCACCTAGTGGAGCGATCTAAGGCCTGTATGTATGTGTGTATGTATGTGTGTGCGCGTGCGTGTGCGCGTGCGTGTGTGCGCGTGCGTGTGTGCGCGTGCGTGTGTGCGCGTGCGTGTGCGCGCGTGCGTGTGTGTGTGTGTGTGCGTGCGTGTGTGCGTGTGTGTGTGTGTGTGTAGTTCCATGACTCAGGGCGCAAAACGGAGCAGGAAGGAGTAAAGAACGTCAAAAGAAGGCGTATCTGCTCCTTAATATAGAGTGGCATCTTCTTATTTCATTAAAAAAGTGATTCACGGGTTCCTTTCCATCCATGCCGTGTGAGGTAATTTTGGGTTCGTAAAATTGACCTAATGGCTGTGGAAATGACTAATGGAAATAATTGATACTCCTGGGGTTTGTTTAATGCGGTTAAAGCTCATCACTATACTTCAATTTAAACATAGTCCCTTGACTTAAGCTGTTACGGTGTCATCCAATCAGGCGCTTGGATGGCACGATTAGTTGTGACGTTTAAGCTCCCGACGGGATGACACCCTAACAGCTGATCAAATCAACGGTCTGTATAAAGTATACTTCTACGCTTCGTATACACTCATAGAATCTTGCAGGTTTCACAGTAGTGTGGCACAATATTGTGGACAGGGCTGAAGTGCAGTTAGTGTGAAGGCCTTGTGTTCCTGGCATCTCACATTGCAGTAGGAAGGGCATGGCGGAAAATCGTGTCGGGTCAAGGTACATCGTCCTCGAAGTCCGGGCCTGTGTGATCCATTCACTCGCTCGCCCGCCCGCTCCCTCTCCCACTCACCGGGCTGGGTCGGGGTACGGCCGGACGCGGAGGAGAACGACCTAGCACACGGCGCAGCGCGGAACGACACCGGCCCCCTTCCCCTCCCCTCCCCCTCCCTCACCCTCTCCCTC